GCTAGGCAAGGTGTTACCAGTAATATGCTACAGGAGGCTGAGCCTGAAGGACTGCAATTTTGAGGCCAACCTGGGCAATTTAGGGTTCAGTCAAAGTGCAAGATACTGATAGGCTTGCTTTTTTTTTTTTTTTTTTTGCGGAACTGGGGATTGTACTCGGGCCCCTGTGCTAGCCAGGGAAGCGCTTATTCCACTGAGCCATTTCCCCAGCCCCCTGATAGGCTTGTGGTGATAAAAGCAAATACTATTAGTGGGCTTGGGGGGAAAAAAGGTAATGTTGGAAAAAGCCGTTTTAATCCTGCTGGGAATAAAAATTTATTTTTCTATTTAATACGTCTTTGCAGTAAGTGACTACATTCATTATGGTAAATTAGTACCTGACCATAACCGAATTTTTTTCCCCCCCTCAGAATCGGGGAGTGAACTCAAGCCCTTGTGCTTGCCAGGGAAGCGCTTATTCCACTGAGCTATCTCTCTGGTCCCTCTGTATTTTTATACCACTACTTTATCTTTTCTTCCCTTGACACCGAGGAGGCAGCTCTTGGACAGGGTAGGTCTGCCTATTTACTGCCCCTTGGTGAGGGAGCTGCAGTTCCATCTTCTAATTTCTCACTTCCAGTTGGTCTGCAGAGGGAGCGATCCCAGACACATCCCAAGCCCCAGATGGTATTTTCAGTATCCTGTCTTTCTCACCTGTTATCCTCACTTATGTCTACAAGGGTCAAAGAGCCTCAAAAGAATGTAAAATCGGGTGCCTAAAGTGAAGGTAGGCAAACGAAGCCCACTATTTTCCAGCTCGGCAAAGCTGCACCAGCATCCCATGGCCAGAAGTGCAGCCTTAATGCAGAGCGGGGCGGTCCGTGGCTCGGGCTACCCCTTAAAAATCATGCATTGAAAAAAATGAGAGTTTAATCCTGTTGGTCACTGGTGCCTGTGGAGATCGTTTTTCACCTAAACGTTTTTAAAACGCGCAATCGTATGTTGCGCACACAAAAATAAAACGAAGCTTGATAGGGCTAGGTACTTTCCAACCCTTCCAACGTGATTGCCTTTTTTGTAGAAAGTGAACCATGCCGATAATTACAGAAAACGCGTGTTTATTCCTTGGGTAATTGGGAGCAATTGGTTTATAGTCCAACAACTAACACTGAAGGGTTAAATTTTATAACGCTAACGGAATCAGTATTTCCCTGTACACCGTGCTGTCGTTGGTCCATAGTAAATTTACTAACGCATGAAAATGTGACGCTTACGAATTTAATTTCCTCTAGGTATCTGGGATGGGATAACAAGTGCCCACCACTTTTTACACGTGGCTCTCTAGGGAGCGTGGGAAAAGGGAAAAATAAAAAGGAAACTGCCAGGACTTAAGATGTCTACGCAACGACCCTGCCATCTCCAAAGAAGAGACTACCCGCTTCCAAGATGTCCGTCCGCAGTACTGACGTCACTCGACAGGCTAGCTCCAGCCAGAAAGCGAGAGCGCTCCAATCAAGGCTCAGCCTCCGCCCTTGACTTGCGTCACTTCCGGTGGTGCAGCAGCCATTTTGTCAGTCGCCAGCGGATCCCGCGCGCTGGAGAAGTGCAGTTCCCCCTGGTTACCAATCCGTCCGTTCTCCCTCCGCGCTGCGGGGACCCTCGAAGAGCTCTCCAAAGACGGAGCTGTATCTCCTCACAGTGCCTCCGTTGGTGTTGCGTCCGTCCGGAACTAGTGCTCTGTCTTCCTCCTGTCACACTGACAGGCGCCCTCGGGGAGCGGCTGTCCGCGATGTCAAGCGAGGAGAGCTACCGTGCCATCCTACGGTACCTGACGAACGAGCGCGAGCCGTACGCGCCCGGCACCGAGGGCAATGTCAAGCGGAAAATCCGCAAGGCTGCTGCCTGCTACGTGGTGCGCGGCGGGACTCTGTACTACCAGCGGCGGCAGCGGCACCGCAAGACCTTTGCGGAGCTGGAAGTGGTGCTGCAGCCGGAGCGGCGCCGAGGCCTCATCGAGGCGGCGCACCTGGGCCCCGGCGGCACTCACCACACCCGGCACCAGACATGGCACGACCTGTCCAAGACGTACTGGTGGCGAGGTGAGGCGGCCGCACGGGGCGGGCGGCGGGGGCGGCGGCGGGAGTGCGGTTCGGCGCTGCCGGGGGAGCGGGTGGGGACGCGAAAGGAGCCGCACTTCCCGCAGGAAGGAGCGGGGCCGGGGGCGGGCCTCGGCGGCCGGGGCGGGGCCGGGTCGTCGGGCTCCTCCTCCACCGGCCTAGGCCGCGGGGGCGGGGCGCGGCCCCTCGTTGGCGCCTACGTTGACTGCTGCGCGGAGTCCTACAGTGCGCCCTGCGGGTCAGCCCGGGGCTGCTCTTTCCAGTGTGTTCTGTCTGCTTAAGTTCTGGCGAGTGGGCTTAAGGGTCTCTATCCCCTGGCCTACGGTTCTTAAATTCTGCATCGGGGTATATAAATTAGGGGCCTAGGTGATATGGAGTCCTGGGTGACAGCCCTCTTAAACCTCGTTTCTTACAGCAAGAGTTAAATATACAGAATGTCAGGATTTGTTTTGTTTTTGAGGCAGGGTCTCTGTCCGCAGTTCTGGCTGAATTTCTACTTAGGTGGCCTAGGCTGGCCTCGAACTCAGGGCGATCTTCTTGCCTCAGCCCCCGCAGTGCTGGGATTGCAAGCATGCGATATCATACCCGGTAAAATTAATAATCTTTACTGCCTCACAGGTTTTCTTAGGAAGGGTTCTACCACTCTGTATGGCACTGGAGAAGTTAAACTCATCGGTCTTGGTGACATCGACTGTAAATAAAGAAGTGAGACCACAGTATTGTCTGTTTATGAACTTTGTCTCAAAACCTGTTGGCTAAACCAATCAACTCAAGGCAGAGACAGAAGGGTCGTTGAGAGTTCAAGGCCAGCTGAACTGCGTAGTTGAGATCCTGTCTCAAAAAGACAGCCCCGCCCCAGAAAAATCCTGTTGGCTGAATCCTTTCGTGCTTTTAAGAGTTCAAATCTATATTCTGAGATGCTTTTCGTTAATCTTCTATTTTATCATTTATTTAAATTTATTTTGGTTTTTTGTTCTTTTTGAGACGGGGTCTCACTGTCTGGTACAGGGTAGCCTTGAAATCACTGTGTTGCCTTGCTGGCCTCTTTTTTTTTTTTTTCAGATTTTATTTATTTATTTGTGTGTGTGTGTGTGTGTGTGTGTGTGGCCAGCTCAGCCCACCAGGGGAGGGGGCGGGTGTCATGTGGTGCTGGGGGATTGAACCTTGGTCCCTGTGCTTTGCTAAGCTTGTTCTAAGTAGGTGCTTTAGACCACTGAGCCATCTCACCAGCCCCCTTGCTGGCCTCTTCATAATCCTGGAGATCCTTCTCAGCCTCCCAAGTGCTGGGATTATAGGTGTTTACCGCCACACCCAACGTAAGAATGAAATTGCACTTCAGGAGATACAACTGATCAGTTTGGGCAGACACTTGTTGAACATGTGGCTCAAGTTTAATACCTTTGGTAAAGATTTTTTGCTAAATGTTCTTAAAACTTTGTGAGGTGGAAATAGTTAACTGTTTTACAAATGGGAAAACTAAAAGCACACAGTTGTGTTTTTGGTTCTGTTTTTCATGTGGTACTGGGAGTTAAACCTAGTTAGAGCCTGGTTTCTGCTACTGGAGGTGAGCATTTCACCTCTGACCAGCGTTTGGATCTTTCACCCTTAGTATCAGGAGTAGCCAAGATTATTAGGCATGTGCCCCTAACCATGCTTCATATCTGGTTTGTTTTTGTTTTGAGACAGGGTTTATGTATTTCTGCTTCAGCCTTCCAGGTACTGGGCTTACAGACATATACCTTGCATCTATGCTGAACAGGCTTCATGTATTTCCTACACACTGTTTTGTGGTGCTGTATGGTGTTTACTATTGAGAATTTTCCTTTATTAAGTGGATTTTCTTGAGTGTTCTCCAAGTCCATATTTGGTTTTAGTGTGTATTGTCTCAAAAAAACAAACAAACAAACAAAAAAAAACAGAAAAGGAAAACATCCTAGTCTATGTGTTAGCTCAATTTAAGAATGAAATCGTGTGTTTATAGTTGTGGAATTTCAAAATCCTTACAAACC